ATATATATATATATATATATATATATATATATATATATATTTACGGCTTGCGATTTCGTATGAGATAAAATTATCTGCTAAAATTCACATCTTTAGTTGTACTACGGCTAGAATGACCGCTTATTGATCATTTATTCCTATAGCAAAGAGAATGCACCTTGATGCGATGTGATGGTTTGTGCATTTCTGTTACCTACCGAATAGCATGGGGTGGCTTTTTATTCCAAAAGAGCCGTACCCGAAAGTTGGGGATGGGGTAGAAGTGAAAAATTCCGTTTTTTGCTCCTCCAGGTTGAGGGTGGAAGGCTGCCTTTTTTATCAGTTTCTCGGTTGGTAAAAGTGATGACGGGATGTTGAACATGAACATATAGTCTAGGGATTCTGATTTTCATTCTGCTCATCCATGGAAATCCCTAGCAGTTCGCGATGGTTAATCTCTTAGTATGATCTCTCAGCCGGCTGAGTTTTTGAATTAATCTTCGCTGCTCGATATCTGTCGAAGCTTGCAACAATATAGGTTACCTATATTTCCCTGATACTTCCGTTTTCACAGGCGAAACTTGGGGGTTATTTCTTTACTAATGAAAGACAATATCTCAAAATGCAGCTCTCCGACGTGCGAAACTCTCGCTGTTCTCTCCGATCCGTGGTTGGCGGAATCGTCACCCTGCCGGATTCAGGCAGGTGGCTAAGTATTGTACAAGTTCAGTCGCGTTTTGACTGTATGCCGTATAAACATAAAAGAATACAAGTTGTATACCCAATAATCATTTGAATTTATTGTTTAGTTATGAAAACCAACAGCCCATAACGTACAATTTGTAGTATATCAACGCTTGGAATCCAAATATGCACGACTTAAACATGATACCTACCGGGATTATATCTTGGCTACCTACCTGCGACTGTCATCGCCGCCAATTTGTTTGATTTTTCAGGAGGACTCACTTTCCTGTGTTTTATTTAAATAATGAGTTGATCCACTTCAATAGGATATTGTTATCCAATGATTGTACCGATGAGTGATTTATGAAATAATTTGGAAATGTGTTTTGTATAAAGCTACTATCCAAACATCTATTGGCCGATTTTCGCACGTCTAAATTTTTCAAACATCCTTTTTGTTATTGTTTACAGATGTAACGAGCTTCCTGAGGTTCATATTAACCTAAACGTGTGGCTCCCTCTTGGTACAACAGCCAGTTTCTGGGCCCCGGCAAACAAGGTGACTGATCACGGTCCTTTGGGTCCGGTTAGCCGATGGGCTGTCTTATCGGATCGCGGATTCGTGGATCGGCTACTTGGAGATAAGGTAATAAACTATTTTTGCGAAGTTTGTGGAATTATTCCAATCAGAAAACAAGTTAAGCCGGAGGTCACAGCTAAGAGTCCGGTCACCCTGATTCACCTTCAGCAACGCTGTCTGGAACGATGGGCACAACATTCTGTGGCTCAATTCTTTGTCCCTCCGTTGACATAATAATAATAATAATAGGTGTATATTTCACGAAACCCGTGAGACATGCACAAGGCATGATCAAATTCCTTGTCCCTCCGTTGACATCAGATTTTCCAACTTTCACCTCAGGTATGCAACTACTAGTTGACTCGGTTTCTCTCTTGAAACAGATTATGCGACAAATGAATTACCCACAAGCTCATACTTCTTTTGTCTCATACGGTATTTACGGAATCGAATCGTGTCGTATTCGAAATAGAGACGTGTCATCTATCCTTTTTGGGGAAAAAGATATCCCATGAGTTAACCTGTTATTCCCCGCTGTATGTTTTCTCCAGTGTTAAACCGTTAAGTATTTCAGTGTTTCATCAAGTCTCCGCCAGTAAGATTCAACACTTAATGCGCAAGGGAAGTGGGATAGGAGACCGTTCTAGGTGTTGCACACTCTGACTGCGAAATATTGACGCCAGAATTTTTATTGGTATTTTTATACCAGTAATTTTATCGGATACTCCCTGAGGTGAGCGTCGGGTGATAGATATCTTGGATTCCGCTGCACCCAATAAACCGAAGTCGAGTCCCCAAATTCCGCAGTACTGAGCGGAATATAATCCCAATGATAGTGTTTGCGGGTCATCATCTTCCCTGGCTTTCCCTTGCAGACCTTTCAGCATCTTACGATCTCAGTGTAGCCGTTAGCAACAAGCCTCGATGGTATATTTAGTGTGGTCGAAGCAGGCTGATGATGATGGATGTGCGAACCGTGTTGACTCCCTGAGATTCGCTTAAGCAAAGCGACATTCTTTGTAACTGCAATCGAACTCCCGGGTCCGGTTGTTCTAACAGATGTTTTGAACAATCATGCCTAGGTGCTTCTCACTAGAGATAGTTGTTAATCTTCCAGAAAGTATGGAACTCGACTGTTTCAGCGTAGTGATAAAACCTTGAATTTAGAAACATCGAATTCCACACGGTTCTCCAGAGACCTATAGTGAGCTGTGGTAAATGTTTCCTATAGTGCTTATAAACCCGCAGGTGGTGTTTCTATGTTCCGAGATTTGGCCTTGCCTGCAAACAATACTGTTCTTAGCCTCAAAACATTCGGCAGAGTATTTGTGACCGTAAACTAAATTCATATTCTTGTGTAACCCCGCGGACAACGTTCATAGAATCGGGAAACGAATCAGAAACATGAATTGATGTGGTCCGTTTTTAGAGAAACGCTTCACCCCGCTCGAGTGATGCTTCACTCAATCAGATGCTTCTGTAAAGTGCGGGTAAATCACATCCACTTCATCTTTGTCAGCTACTCTTGTCCATTCATCCCAGACAAAGAGCATGTTGCTAGCATAATGTCGTTTTTGCCGGAATTCATTTTAAACTGCCAAAAGCGTATCACCAAAGTTGATCTACTGCCAAGTTTGCCACTCACTCCTCGGCGGAGTACCACCGCCTTTCCATGCAGCGAAGTAACTCCAATTTATGTGAACAAACCTAACTGACAGTCAGGAAGTAGAATTATCAACATCGGCTCTTGGAATTCCTTCGGTAATTCACCATATACGGAAAATATCTACTTCATAAAACCGTCACCAAGGGATGGCGAGGAACATGAAATAATTTTAGAGACTGATTAGTAAGAGTTCTTTCATCATTCATCGTCTAATAATCGGACGAAATCAATAGCCCTTTCCTTGGATCTGCATGATTTGTTAAACACCCCACATGACTGGATAAGAGTACCAAATAGATCGTCTTGTTACTCGTCGAAGGCGATTTGTTGGGCCTGATATCTTGAAAACTGCTTCTTCCAGGAGTCCACGATGATTCGCCGCTTTCATGTTTTAAGTTTTATGCCGGTAACGTGATCCAGGTGTCATTTTTTGTGTCACATACAATATTGAGAAAAACAACCGCAGAGCGAGCAGTGGTAGCCACTTGCCTGCCAACCGTCTTTTCCATTTGTTTATTTATCCATTCTCCTAACCGCCACTGCGAGTTGGTAATCGCAGTAGGCCATTCTGTGTAACTGATTCCGTGGATAGCAACGAAGGAAAAAAGACACCCAACTCCAGTTTTATGTTTTCGCTTATTATGTATTTGAGAAAACTGCACAATTCTCTCTCTTTTAAAGCGAAAAGAAACACCGAAAACCATGGAAAAAGCAACCGTTTTTGTTTGTTTCTCGTGATGTGTTCTTGCAGCTTCGCTTTGAGCACACGTGTAGTCGTAGCCCGTGGTCGTCGCCTGGTCTCAGTCCACGTCATCCGGTTCAGTCGGGCAATACGTGCATACCGCCATCCGATTGTAACGAGACGGGCAGCCAACAGGGTAAGGCCAACTGATTTCATTGCTTTCAACTGGGATATTTTCCAACATTACCGATCGCTACTGAGTTCATTTATTTTTCGATTACCTTACTGGATGGACTAACAGTGCCTGATCGCAGACATATGCAATGAATTCGTTGTTCCATCTGTTCTTGAAAATATTTTTTCACGGGTGAACTATTTCACAGACTTCCCTCGAAGGATTATTTTCTTTTTGCATTCTTGTGTATTTTGGGAAGGACTCGGGGTAGATACGTGCCTTGGTCATTCTAAAAATTATTGTATACAGTTGCACGAAAAAAATAGCAAAAAGGGATAAACTCTATAGTCACTAGAACCTACTGTTCGCTCATTCCTGAGACTTGTAATAGTGTACCGCGTAGGACCTCACCAGGATAGGCGTGGTACTGAGTTGGACGACACCAAACCTGCCCATCAACAAACTTCGGGGTTGTGACGACGCATGGTTCTAACCTCGATCTTTTGAACCCAAAGCACGCCAGTGAACGCGAATTAAACTGCTTGATCACCAGCATAGTACAATTTGTACTTCATTTCCGGTTATATCTCTTTCCGAAAGACCACCATTAAAATCAACTTTAATCCATCAGCGATCACCGCTGAATCGCATCCGGGTGATGCTACCTTATTGAATTATGTATTTCCCAATGTAGTTTCTTTTCTTTTCACACATGGACTGCGTAACACGTGGAATATAAAGCGATAGACTCCTCGAGCGCCTGTGCATCTTTGTCTCCACGGTTTGCGTGTGTTCGTCTCCTTCGCTATGCCAGCTAGGGCTTAATAAATCAGTTCTTATTTTGTTGCTTACTAACAATCATTCCGTTTTTCTAATGCAAACACCATGACATTATCAGAGGATTTAGTCCTGTCCAAAGGGTCAGCTTGACCATTCTAAATCATGTATGTATCTATATCAAGTTAAGTCAAGAAACGCTTTATGCACCCAAATGGTGAATTTCGGCAATTTACGATTTCCACAATGGTTTTATAAACCAATTGCAACAAAAAAAAGACAATACAAGAAACTCTACACGCCAGTAAATGCGAGAAAAAATAGTGCAAGGGATTTACCCTGAGGTGGGTGAGAATAATCTGACGATCAACCAATAACCGAATTACACTGTTTCGATATCTGAAAGTACGCACTGGAAGGAGTTGATATTTGGAGCAAGAATTTGACGGGTTTCGCGATATCTTGGTACAGACAGTGCCCCTGATCATGCGTTATCCTGTCAATGAAGGTATCGCAGACGTCAAGATGATTAGACAAAAGTTAAAGGGATCTCGAAAATAAACTGAAGTCTTTTTCTTTCAGTCCAAGGATAAAAATCGGGGAGCAGTATAGCCAGTGTGGAAGAATGCAGGCAATCACAAATTTAAGAATAAGATCACGTGATACGGCCAATTTCCTGAGCCTGTAAGCATGGAAAGACAGTTTTCGAACTTTTGTGAAAACGATGATATGAACAGACCAGGACAGGTTATGAGTAAGGGTGACAATGTATTTAGAAGATACAGATTTTGGAATACTTTGTATGTTAACTCTAAGATCAGGGAGATTATTAACTGGTGAAAGATAACGGGGACCGGTTTTGAGACTAAATGGAACTTCAATGCACCTACTGATGTTAAGTACAGTGGATCGTGGCACAAACCAATCATGAAGTTCATTACGACTGTCCTGGAGAGGTTGAAAACTGTCTGAAATAGGGGCTGGACAACCAATCACAACATCATCAGCATACTTACGAGCAGTAAAGTTGGTGGGAATGAGGAAATTTTGTAAATACATGAAGAACAAGAAAGGGGACAAAATAGCACCCTGAAAAACACCGACTTTAAAGTTAATAGAAAAAGACTGTACACCATTGAGTGAAGTAAACTGAGTCCTACGGGAGAAGTAGTCGATTAGTACATTCAAAACTTCAGGAGTTAGACCACACTCAGAAATACAATCAATAAGCACACTTCGGTCTAGAAAACGAAAAGCGTTTGTGTAGTCAAGGAAGGTTAACGAGTGGTACCAGCGCCATTGTCTAAGACGGAAGCAACAAAATGAACAATATGAGCAACGGCGTCAAGTGTGGATAAATGGGGTTCATATGCAAATTGTAAAGGGTCATGGGAGTTACACTGTGGTATCATGCGGTGCAGCAAAACGCCTCCAGCAACACAGATATGCAAGCAATAGGACTACTTGAACGATACTTTCTTTGGGATTGATCTGATCCGGGTAAAGCTCCAACAATCCGGGACCGTTTGGGATGACAAACACGTACTGAATAATGCATAAATAGGTGTCGGAAGCTGGTCGGCGCTAGCTTTCAACAAACGAGGTGCTCATCTATCGGGACCATGAGCTTCCTTGGCTTTGAATCCCCTCAAAATTTGGGGAACCTCGTCCGGAGAAACAGGGTTCATCGCTTCACGGGTAGGAAAAGAAGGTGGGAGGGAGCTAGAGGTAGGTACAGAAGCGAATTGACAGTTAAGTTCCTCAAGGTTGGGACAACAGAGTTTTCGCAAAGTAGTCCACATCTTACGACAGCTGTTATTGCCCAAAACAGACTCAACGTACATTCAGTTCAGGCGTCTTACTTCAGCTCTAATCAACACAGAGAACTCTGGCATTGTTGCGCCCCCCGGGCATGTGGCAGTCTCTTTAGCACGACAGAGTCGCTTAAGGAGGAATGAGGTAACCCTATCGGTTCGCATATAAATTGTTTCAACGGATCAACATCAGTCATAACAGAAATTAGGATAATCAGTGAGATATTCGCAATACAGAGACAGCAGATTATTGGAGAACACAAAAAAAATCAGTAGAAGAAACTAAGTCCCACGGCCTGGATAAGTCCTCCGGAAAACAATTTCTTTTCCGTAGAGTATGAGAGGCGGGTCGAGTATGAAGGCAGTGGTTAGTTTGACAGTAAGGAAGAATCGTACAGTGGTCAGAAGTGCTAATTGGGGCTCGCTTAAGAACGTGAAACATATTGAGACTTCCATTTCACCTGTTTGCCGAGCTTGGCAATTTGCTTTCAAACATTTCATCACTAGCCGAGATGACATCATCAGTGCGTG